GACACTGGGGGAGGGGACACTGGGGGCCACCACGGGCCTCGCCCCCTGCCACTTGGGGTCTGTCCAAGGCGACCGCAGCCTTTCGGAGCAGGTGGGGAAACTGAGGCCCGCCAGGCTGCGATATCGGGCCGCTGAATCTCCCCTCCCCCTGCTGCCTCACTGGGGACAGGCGCTGTCCCCAGCCACTAAAGGCGACCAAAGAGCCCGGGAGGTCCCCAGCTTGCACGCCCGACCCCTCCAGGCCACCCACGCGGCCCCCAGGGCGGGCCACCCGCGGGGCAGGTGCGCAAGGCAGGTGCGACGCTGAGGTGACAGCCCGGTCCCCAGCTGTCCCCACCCGCCTCACCGAGGAGTTCTGGCACTGCAGGCTGGAGCTGTTGAAGCGCAGGGCGGTGACGCGCGCCGGGCTCCCGGGGACGTGGAACAGGCACTCGTACCCGCGCTGGCCCGACTGCGGCTGCGGCAGGTTGCGCGCCGCCAGCGTGATGGGCTTGACCACGCCCACCGGCACGTAGATCTGCGTGGACGGCAGGATCTGGGGACAGTCCTGGCGGGGTGGAAGGGGACGAGGAGGTTGAGGCTGAGCCCCCTGCGGTAGCCGGGTGCGCCCCAAATTGCGCCCTGGCCTGTTTTTACGATCCCGGACTCCTATGCATGCCGCAAAGCCCCACCGGAAAAACCCCTGGAGCACAGGGGACAGCCGCTCGTCTGCATCCCAGCGCGCCCTGGCCTGTTTTCTACGATCCCGGACTCCTATACATGCCGCAAAGCCCCATTGCAAAAACCCCTGGACCACAGGGGACAGCCGCTCGTCTGCATCCCAGCGCGCCCTGGCCTATTTTCTAAGATCCCGGACTCCTATACATCCCGCAAAGCCTCATCTGAAAAACCCCTGGAGCACAGGGGACAGCCTCTACCCTGTATCTCAGCGTGCCCTGGCCTGTTTGGTACCATTCTGGACTCCTATGTATCCCGCAAAGCCCCGTCGGAAAAACCCCTGGACCACAGGGGACAGCCTCTACCCTGTATCCCAGCGTGCCCTGGCCTGCTTTCAACGATCCCGGACTCCTGGGCATCCTACAAAGCCCCATTGAAAAACCCCTGGACCACAGGGGACAGCCTCTCCCTATGGTCCCAGCGCACCCTGGCCTGTTTTCTACGATCCCGGACTCCTATACATCCCGCAAAACCCCATCTGAAAAACCCCTGGACCACAGGGGACAGCCTGTCGTCTGTATCCCAATGAACCCCGGCCTGGTTTCTACCATCCCGGACTCCTATACATCCCACAAAGCCCCATCTGAAAACCAAGGACCACAGGGGACAGCCTCTGCCCTGTATCCCAGTGCACCCTGGCCTGGTTTCTACCATCCCAGACTCCTATACATCCCACAAAGCCCCATCTGAAAAACCCCTGGACTACAGCGGACAGCCTCTCCCCTGTGTTCCCAGCGCACCCTGGCCCATTTTCTATAACCCCGGACTCCTATACATCCCGCAAAGCCCCATCTGAAAAACCCCTGGACCACAGGGGACAGCCTCTCCCCTGTACCCCAGGCCCCCCTGGCCTGTTTTCTATGATCCCGGACTCCTATACATCCCGCATAGCCCCATCTGAAAAACCCTTAGACCACAGCGAACAGCCTCTACCCTGTGTTCCCAGCGCGCCCTGGCCTGTTTTCTACGATCCCGGACTCCTATACATCCCGCAAAGCCCCATCTGAAAAACCCCTGGCCTGTTTGCTACAAACCCGGACTCCTAGGCATCCCGCAAAGCCCCATCTGAAAAGCCCCTGGACCACAGGCGACAGCTTCTCGTCTGTATCCCAGCTCACATGCCCGTTTTCCAGAACCCCAGACTCCTATCCATCCCGCAAAACCCCATCTGAAAAACCCCTGGACCACAGCGGACAGCCTCTCCCCTGTGTTCCCAGCGCGCCCTGGCCCGTTTTCTATAATCCCGGACTCCTATCCATCCCGCAAAGCCCCATCTGAAAAACCCCGGGAGTCACAAACAGCCGCGAGCGGAGCGCGGCGCCCCAGTGGGGCGGGGCTGAGCGGAGGGCGCCCAGGGAGCTTGTTAAAAATACCCAGAGCCCGGCAGAGAAACAGCCTGGGGTCCCCCGGGGCCCCCAAGTTTCCGCGGCGACAACAAGTGACGCAAGGGCGCGGCGAGCCGGCGGCAGGACCGGGTCCCGGAGGGGACAGGCGGTATAAATAGCGACGCGGAGAAGAGGCGGGTGTCCCCAAGGCGGGCGCGGCCCCGCGACAGGCTCCGCGGGGAATCGGGGGCCCCGGGGGAAAAAACTGAGCCGGGCGTGGAGGCGCATGCCTGGAGTCCCAGCTACTCGGGAGGGAGGCCGAGGCGGGAGGCTCGCTGGAGGCCAGGAGTCGGAGGCTGCTGTGAGCGAGGCTGACGCCACGGCGCTCACTCCGGCCCGGGCGACAGAGCGAGACTCCGTCTCAAAAAAAAAAGGGAAACTGAGGCGAGCCGAGGCTGACGCTGGTGAGGCCAGGACGCCTCCTGGGCGGCGGGAGGGACGGGGACGAGCTGAGTGGCACGAGGGACCAGGCAGGGTCACGTGGGCGGCCGGCGTGGCGGGTGGCACATGGTGGCCGTTGTTTTCTACGCTGAGCCCCGTCGGAAAAAGCCCTGGGCCACAGGGGACAGCGTCTCCCCTGTACCCCAGCGATCCTGGCCCATTTTCTATTATCCCGGACTCCTATACATGCCACAAAGCCCCACCGGAAAAACCCCTGGACCACAGGGGACAGCCCCTCGTCTGTATCCCAGCGCGCCCTGGCCTGTTTTCTACGATCCCGGACTCCTAGGCATCCTGCAAAGCCCCATCAGAAAAACCCCTGGGCCACAGGGGACAGCGTCTTCCCTGTACCCCAGCGCACCCTGGCCTATTTTCTACGATCCCAGACTCCTATACATCCCGCAAAGCCCCATCTGAAAAACCCCTGGACCAAAGCAAACAGCCTCTCCTCTGTGGTTCCAGCACACCCTGGGTTGTTTTCTACTATCCCGGACTCGTATACATCCCACAAAGCCCCACCGGAAAAACCCTGGACCACAGCGAACAGCCTACCCTCTGTGGTCCCAGCGCGCCCTGGCCTGTTTTCTATAATCCCGGACTCCTATCCATCCCGCAAAGCCCCATGTGAAAAACCCGTGAACCAAAGGG